AGAGAGAGAGAGAGAGAGAGAGGTTTTGTCATAATGTGCCCTGCAAGGTGTCCTATACCCATTGATTGGCTGGTGACTTGGGACAGAATATTAGGCACCATCACTCTACATAGGGAACAATAATACTCTTCAGAAGTCCGCTGGGAGCCTTTTCCTGACTCTCACTTCTTTGGAAAGACTATTATTGATCTTTTGTTGTTGTTGTTTATTGTCTTTCAATCTGCTGGTCCTCACCCTCCCATATCTTGTGGTTTATAGCCTTGCTAAAAACATTTTTATTTAAGAATGAAATTGTGTAAACTTTCAGAGGGTGATAATGTTATGCAGCTGTTTGAAAAACAAAGACCAAATGTTACTTCTGACTAAATTCCTATTGTATTTTCCAGGGAACAACATTCTGTTCATATCCAAGCAGCTTCCTAATATTTGCAGGCTTTAGCAGACAGGCATTCTTTGTTTGAAAGCTCCAAATGGAAGGCTTCGTTATTATTAAAGGATGATTTTCTGCCCTTGACCCTAAATTAAATTCACATTTTAGAAATTAAAACAAAAAGGTTCATTTGTTGATTAGACCTCATTTTATTCAACTGGAAAATCAGTAATTATATCCAGTTTTTCTTGTAAACTGTGAAACAAAACCATAAGGAATTAGACAAAATAACAATGGCTATGTTTTTCGTTTTTTCACCACCATTAGAAAAATATGTTGAACAGGAGTTAAGTTTGAATTTGAATATAAGTGCTTGAATTTTTACAACACAATGTACACAGAGGATTAAGTAAGTCAACCCATAAGTAGGTAGCTCTCAAGGAGAAGAGGCCGAAGGCTCCGGGTCATGCTTACTCTGTTGCATCTCCAGACTTGGCAGTCAGGGAAGTCACTCATTATCCCAAGGAGAAGATAATGTGAGAGAGGAGAAAGGGGCCAGGGGTGTTATTCTAATGGAAACAAACAAGAATCAGCGAGATGGCGCCTTTCTCCTCACAGATGTCATTGTTATCCCATTTTTCAAAGCAGGAAAATGAGACTCAGGCAGATGAACTTGCCCAGCATCTTCCTGCCAAAGAATGAGAAGCCAAGGAGAGGCAGCCAGGCCCCCTGACAAGGCCCAGGGCACCCGCTGTGCGGCCTCCCCACACTGCAGACCCAGGGACTAATGTGGTGGTTTCCTCTGTTCTTGAGTCTCTCCATCCTGGTTAATTGTGCTTTTCCCAGTGTGAGGACTGGAAGGTGATCTGAATTGTTGACATGAACATAAACTAGAGGACTGGCTTTCTTTGGTGTGCTTTATTGGAAACATAACATATCGTTGAATATACAATGACCAAGGATGTTTCCCCTGTTCAGACTGAATGAAATCCCAGTCACTCTCAGTCATGAACTAGGAAGGCACCCAGTGTTGGAGACTTGTTCCCGTTTCATTCTTGTCTTCCTTGCTGACGTTTCAGAGAGATACATTAATTGGTGTGTCTTGTGTTTTCAGTTCAGCATGTCGTGTGCCCCTTGTCTCTGAGGGCGAGGGGGTTCCCCAGCCTGTTCTTTTGCCAGTACAGTGCCGATCTGTGGAACATTGGAATCAGCGTCTTCATACAAGACGGTCCCTTCCTCATCGTGCGTCTCGTACTGATGGCCTATTACAAGGTTTTCAACCAGATGCTGGTGTTCTTTGCGGTAAAGAATTTCCTCGTGGTGATGTTACACCTCTACCGCCTGGTTGTCCTGGCACTGGGCGCCCGTGCCTCTCTGCGAAGGCAGCCAGAGGTCCTGAAAGGAGAGCGGGGCGGCCCAGCCGAGCCCGTGGAGAGTGGGATCGCCCCTGGGGCCTGGGAGGGTGGCTCCAAGGAGGGCGTGGCTGTGCCTTTGCGGGCCTCGCCAGGCACCTCGGAGGACTCGCCCCCCACCCCGTAGTTAGTTATGGGCAGCCGCATGCTTGACGCCCCAGTTCTTCTTAGGAACAGAACCTCCCTCTGTTCTTCGAAACCTTACATGTAGTAATTTTCAAAAGAACAACAAAAAGGGTCCTGAACCCGTCAAAATGATATAAGCACAGCCACTCTGGAATGGGGCAGGAGCTGCCAGGCCAGAGGAACTGCCTTGCAGGTCATGTGCCTCACACTTTGGGATGTTAACACAGGACAGAACAGCCTCTGGACCGAGCCTAACGCAACCACGTGTCCCAAAGAAGCGTTTGCAAGGATAGTAAGAACTACCGGACTGATGGCTACCTGACCAAAAATTAAAAACATTTTTAGAATTAGCGGCACTATGTTATCTGCACCAATAGAAAGGCCTCTCTTCTATTGATGTAATGGTTCCCTTTTCCTTTCTCATAAATACCCTTTGCCATTGTCTCCTAATCAGAGCACGATTTGGGCTTCGGCCTGAATCAATGCATTCTGAGGAGCTTTTTTTATTGATCTCAAATAAATGCTTGTTGCCTTTCACTTTGAAAGGCTTTTACTTTTAGGTAATCAAGCCGAAGCTGAGAAGTTCTTTTTCTTAAACTGAATGAAAAGAACTTTGATTAGTGGCTATTGTTACAATTTGTGTGATGGTATCAGATGTTATAGTTGTTCAACAACTAAGTGATTTGTTTGTCTTGAACTGTCTGACAAGCCTATGGACAGGGTTACAACGACATGCCCTCAAGAGACTGAGTGCAGACAAACCGTCCGGGGCTGTTACCTGAAAACAGAGGAGCTTTCAACCTTGGCTCCATTGTCAGACTGTCTCCTCTGATCTTTTCTGCAATGTCCCTCTGACATTAAAAAAAAGAGAAAAAAACTACATTCAGTGAATGCAGAACAAATAAAGGAAAATGTGCCTTTAACATTACCTCACTGGGGGCTGGAAACAGTGAAAATCTCTGCCCAGCTTCTCTGCACAGACCTTCCCGGGAAAATCATTCTTCTGGGCTGATGTGGCATTCTGTCATGGCGCATATGCTCTTACAGAAATTTTATCGCTTCTGGCTGGGGCACTGCAAAATTCACAGCAAGCCATTTCAGCTACAGATCCACCGGTTGCGAGGCAGGAAATACTGGTCATGCCGCGAAGTCACAATTTCCACTCAGAACGTGATTGGCGGCATTTGTCAGTATTTTCTTAACTGCACGTCACCGTTTTCTGCATAGCCAAGTCCAATCATGTGGGCTGACGCGAGGAAGCACTGCAGCAGTGCGGAACGGGGCTACAGGCCCTTTAAGGGTGACCCTAGTTTCTGGTGCCTGCCAGCAGTCCGAACTGCCACTGCTGGAGATGGCCTCTGGTCCAGGGAAGATGTTGGGGACAGGGCTTACATCGGTTCTACACACTGCCAGCAGCCCTTGATTAGTGACGGGGTCAGAAGTAGTGTAGCACAGCATTGCAGAAATCGGGAAATTCATTTTTCTACCCTGCGTTAAGAGTTCATTTCCCCAATATTGTCATAGTCACACTTTTCCTTTATATACTGCTATACATTTCAGATGGAGGTGACTCAGAACCTTTTAAAACAATGTTTGCTTTTAAAGATACAGCAGGAAAATTTACCTGGCTGTATCACAGTAATTATATGAGGCAAACAGTGCCAAACCGTCCTTTTGGGGTTCAAAGCACAGTTCCTCCTGTTACTATGCTCAGGAACTCAAAGAGACCCTGCTAAAGATAAGGCAGGGGATGTCCCTAAGGTGGGTGGGACTTAATGACAATTAATTGGGACAATTTGATCTATAAATCTCTATGGCATGACATCTGTTCAAAAGATTTGATTAAAAGTTCCATAGGCATTTTTTTGTTTTTATATAGAGAAATGAATAATTTCCAATTATTGGTTTCTTCAGTGCCTGATATCATGTTCCTATTTCTTTCTTTTCTCCCATGTGTTTCTAATTTTAACAATATGATTGTAAAATTACACATGAAACTAATGGGATCCATTTATAATTTTCCATAATAATTTTATGAAAAATCAGGAAATCATATCTATCTAAAGGAAGAAACTTGACAATTTTTAAGGGCTTGTTATTTAAAATGCTTCGCAATTGAAAGCAAAATAATAGCTGCTATTTATAAAACCGCCTCCGCAGAATCTGTTTTTATGTTGACTGTTTCATGGTGAATGTTTTCCTCCACAACATGTATGTGCTACTTATTACTGCAGATTTGCTCATGGCATACTTTACATGTTTTAATTTTTTCTTCCAGCAAAACAAACATTGGGGCTCTAAAAATAGATGAGTATAAAGTAATACGGGCTGTTGCAAGGATATTTTTAAATGCTTTCAAATCTGAGACTTGGCTTGGCTTTGTGAATGAGTTTCTAGCGTTTTAGTAAAGTATTTTGTAATTAGCACTCCTCTGAAGGCCTGGAAATGTAAAGTCCAGAGTCTAGCTTCATTTGGAGCCCCAAGAAGGCAAAGAGCACCCAGGACCATCCCAGCAATCAATGGTGAAAACACAGGAACATTTTCCAGGAAAATCCGCCAAAGGCATCCTTTGTGCACCTAACTGCCAGCATTCCCACCCTTTTGAATTTAGTGTTTTTACTGCACAAAGAATATCTCTTTTCATTGAGCTTATTTAAAAATAAAACTTAAGTCCAGGGTTTATCTCTAGGACCCCTCATGAAAAATTAAAAAGTTATTGTTACTGTACTTCTTTATTGTAGATTGTCAAACATGGTAATGTTTGAAAACATCCAATTGTTCACTAGGAAGTGTCTAGAACAACAGTTACATCCCATAAGTTGATATCTTGGGACTTGTCTCCTTGTAATTTGCAATAAGTGCCTCAGATCATCTGTATACTGTGACGCAGGCCATACCTCTGTACCACCCCCTACAGACACATGCCAATCCCCCAACCACTGAAGAAAGTGATTTATTTGTTATTGTTGTTGTATTTTAACTGCTTGATGAAAGCTCAATCACATGTCCTCCCTCAGAACATAGCTCACTTGTGAGAAAATACAGTGTGCATGTTTTACATACAGTGTGCTGTGTAAAAACTCACCTCTCAACCACCTTGTTGGTGTTGTTCCCCTCCCTAGCTGGGTCTCAGAGGACCTGACTTGGCATTGCAAGATGAGTGATCTGTTTTTGTCTTTGATGACTTTGTTAATTTTTATTGAAGCTGATACAGACAACATACGAAAATAAAAACTTTCATTGTCAATAACAATCTTTTTAATCTTCCAAAATGAGATTGTTATACCAATGTGTCAATTGGCTTTGCAGCAGTTCATAGCAGCACCTCAGGATTTGTAGACCAGAGAGACATAGCTAAGAAAAATCAGGATTCACTATTATTATATTGATTATTAGCTTAAGAGCAAATTTTCAAAGCCATGGGAAGGCATGAGTTGTAGGTGTGCATGCTTTAGGATTTCCATCCAGGTTTCAGAGTTCAACACTGAATTTTATTATCTTTGGCATTTCATCTCAATGACTCTTAATCAACTCTCCTGTTAAAAGAAACGATTGCAAGGGGCCAAGTCTCTGTCCAGGCTCACTCTACTGCCAGGAAAATGAGATACTGAAATATTACAGAGCCTCAGAGAAGTAAGAGAAAAACCAAACAATCCTGAATTATAAGAGGAGATTGTTACACTTTTTCTAATTTCAGACTTGGCTTTTTTACTTAAAAGACATTCTGATCCACTGTCAGAAACATCTGATTTGGGGTTAAACTAGGCAGCTGGTGGATGTTTAGATCTCCTAGGCTTCAAATAACGTTTCATATGATGGGAGTTATTCTAAACAATGTTTTAATAATCAACCGCTATAACCTTATATCTTATGAATGTTCAGCCTCTGAATATTTTATATGAATATTTTCTCTTTAATTACTCATATTTATACTATTTTGCAATGAATGACATTTGTATTTTATTATATATACATTAAATAGTTTGTTTACAACTTTATCTCAATGTTCATTTTTTGTTTGAATTACCTGATTACCTGTCTTTGTTCTCCACTGTAATTCATTTCATTTAGATTATAAGCTCTGGTTTAAAAAAAAAAACACAATGATCTATTTAGAGTATGACTAAAGTGGCATTTCAAACTAGTGAGGAAAGACTGACCAATTTTATAAATGATGTTGGGAAATTTTGCAAGCCATCTGGAAAAAATAAAGTTAGATTTTTACCTCACGCAATATATAGAAATAAATTCCAGATGGATTAAAGAATCTAAATGTAAAACTGAAAACTATAAAATATTAGAGAGAAACATGAAATGTGTCTTTAGCATTGCAGAATGGGAAATATCTCTCAGAGAAAGATGTGAATCTCAGAAACTCTGAAAGCAAAGATGGACAGCTTTTCCTACGTAAAGCTGTAAAATTTCTGAATAGCCAAAGGTATCACGAATACATCACTATTTTTTTCCTTTTGGTGCACTCATACAAGAGAAATGAGAGGTACAGAAATTAGAAAAGACGAGCCAATTTTATCATTTCTTTGTTGAAGATTGGGTCTTGAATAACCAAAAGAAGCACATAAAAACCAAAGGAAATATATGTTAATGTATATATGTATATGTATGTGTGTGTATGTATGTGTGTGTGTGTGTGTGTGTGTATATCTCCCTAATATGCAAATAGACCAAACAGCAGAACAACTGAACAACTGAACAACCAGTCTCTATGATGTGCGCTGACCATCAGGGGACGTGCGCAGAACATGGTGGGCGTAGGCTATGGCAGGATGGTGGAGCAGGTGAGAGGGGGCACCAGACCAAGGCCAGTTGCTGTCATCGGTGCAAGCCTCTGGTGGTTACTGAAAATTCTTTGCTCTGGCGCACCATAGTCCCGCCCAGCACTCGCACCTGCTGCCAGCACCGACCCTGTATGAACCCACTGTTGGCGACCATTGCTGGCCCCGATCGCTCGGTGCCGTCAGCATGTGCGAGCGGTGGCTGCCAGCCCTGATTGCCCCCGAGGGCTTCTCTACCTCTTCCTGCTCCTGGGGGGCAACTGGGGCAGCAGCTGCCACTCGCACCCGTTGCTGGCATTGGCCCCAATCATTCCATGTTACCTGCTCCTGTGCCCACCGCAGCCTTGAGACCCATAGTTCCTTTCAAGGTGCACGAATTTGTGCACTGGGCCCCTAGTTAAAAGTAATCTAAAATCCTGAAAAAAATCAATGGCTTTTCTCTATATAAACAAATATCACACAGAATATGTATTTGAAGAAGAGATTTCCATACAAAATGAACTAGAACTGAAAAATACACAGAAATAAACTTAATCTCACCTAATAGACAAACATGTAAATTGACCATCCCCCGCTATGCTCACCAGCCAATCAGGAGAGTATGCAAATTAACCCAACAAAGATGGCAGTTAATTTGCATACGTAGGGCGAAGCAGCAGAGTGAAAACTGAAGGCCTGGGTGCTGGGTGCCGGAGGAAAACTGGTGCCGGCAGCCAGGGGAAGGAAAGGCCTATTGCACGAATCTCTTCGTGCAATGGGCCTCAAGTCTATATAATAATAGAGGAATATGCAAATTAGCTGGCATGCCGTAACATCATGACCAAACAGCAGGGAACTGAGGCTGCATGGCACCTGACCTGGATGAGGGAACTCATTGACAGGGTACCTCAAGCCGTGCCCCCCACCCAGCACCGGGCCAGGGGACCTCAGGCTGTGCCCCCCAAATGGTGGGGCTTGATGGAGAACCTTAGGCCGTGCCCCCACCTGGCGGGGCTTGACAGGGACCTCAGGTCGTGTCCCCCCAGCCCCAGTGCCGGGCCAGAGGGCCTCAGCCTGGTGCCAGGCTGGGGGACCTGAGGCTGTGCCCCCCCACCCAGCGGGGCTTGACGGGGCTGGGGCCAGCCAGGTCTGGTTCTCACCCAATAGGGGTGGGGCTGGCCGGGTTTGGGTCTCCTGCATTTTCGAAGTGCGTGCAGGTGGTGGGCAGGAACTTGACTCTAGGTCCTGCGGCATGCCCCAGACTCTGACAGGAGGGAGATTTTCATATACATTTTACTAATTTTCTTTCTTCTCTGATACATCTATTATAGAGAAAGGGCAAATAGCAATATTCAAATATTTCCTCTAATTAATTTCCTTTTAATGTGCACAAATTTCATGCACCAGGCCACTAGTGAATGTATCAGATCCATGTAAAGAAAACTTTAAAATTATTTTGAGGACCATTAGTGAATAATTTAACAAATGGAAAGATATATTCTTTTGGGAAGTAGTAAGAAGATGATATTTTAAAATGTATTAATTTCTCCTAAATTGATGTATAAATTTAAAACAATCTTTATAGCGATGTCAATAAAATTTCAATTTAGCTGATTCTAAACATTTTATAATAAAAGTAGAGGCCCGATGCATGAAATTCATGCAAGAGTAGGCCTTCCTACCCACTGCTGCCAGCACCAGCTTCCCTCTGGCACCCAGGACCCAGGCTTCCCTCACAGCCCTGGCTTTGTTCGGAAGGACATCTGGTCTAATTAGCATATTACACTTTTATTATTATAGATAAGCATGAAGGATACCTGGAAAATACTAAAAGGAGAAAAAATGAAAGAGAGCTTTCAGTATATTAAATATATTATAGAGCTACAATAACCAAGAGAATTTGATTCTGTTAGGCAGAAAAATGGAACAGAATAAGGTCAATAAATAGACTAAATTACATAAGGATTTTCTATGTGATAAATCTTGAGGGTGTGATAGAGTATTATAGCTGGTTTAAGGTTTTTAGAATATCAAAGTGTACCCTTACCTCAATCCTTTTATCCAAAACACTTTCAGAAGGATCAAAGAATTAAACATTAAAATGAAAAAATAAAAACCATAGAAAACTTTGTTTTATATTTACAATATTGAGAATGTTTTCTAAGAAAAACATAAAACTATAAACCTTTAGACAATTCATAAATTTTAAGTTGGGAAGTTGAACTTTTAACATCATAAAAGCATCATAAGTGAATTCACAGGTTGAATTAACTGAGTAAGTATTTTTGCAACAAATGTAACAAAGCATTCATTTTCTTGATAAGCGAATGGGTTCTTACAAATTAGGAAAAAAACCAACCCAACACATTGGAATAATGAGCCAAATATATAAGTATATGGTTCACTGAAAAAGAAATAGTTAAGGAAATGCAAATCGAATCACAATGAAATACCATTTCTGAAATGCAAACTAAACCACAGATACCATTTTTGAATCATCGGGTTGGCAAAGATTCAAAAATATTTTAGAATGTTGTATTAGAAAGGATTGGGGGAAGCAGACATTTTTATTCACTGCTAGTGAAGATGCAAATTGGTACAACTTCTTTGGAAGACAATTTGGCAATATCAGTCAGAATTAAAAATTCATTTATCATCTGAGCCAGCAACTCAACTTCTAAGAATATATTCTACAGATAAATGTATGCAAAAATGTGTGTATAAGGCTGTTCAAAGCAGTATAGTATCCACCAATAGTAATTTCTATAGTAGCACCAACAGGGTCATTACTGAGTTGTGGAACATTTATACTACATATTACCATGTAGCTTTCAAAAGGAATAAAATAGATCCATAAGTGCTGATAAGGAACAATTACAGATATTGTAAAAGTAAGAGCACAAATCTTGAGGTTAGTATGTCATTCTTTTTATAAATACCAGTATAATCCATAGCTTTAAGTGTATGAAATATGCTCATGTTTCCAATGATCCTGGACATTCCCACCTTTTTTTTCTCTCTCTCTCTCTCTTTTTTTACCTTTATGCTTTTTATAGTTTGCAGGTTTTAAGTATGTGTTCCTTTCATAATTTTGAAAACAATTATTAATAAAAAGAAACCTCACCAACTTACAGAGCTTACTGCTATGTACAGGGTATTCTGATGTCATTTTGTAAATAAAGACAAAACACATCACTTTCACCAAAGCAAAAGACTACTTTTACAACTCAGGATGATTTTCAGGTGCTTTAGATAAATCAAAAGTTTAACCCATGCCAAACACTACTTATCCTGGGAAGCATCAAGCCCAGGGAGTGAATAATGCCTAGACCTTTGAGACCACAGGAAAATCAAACTGACCAAAACACTTCATTGGATACTGATGAATACCATGCGATACTTTGTGACAACTGCTCTGACACTTTCACCCTCCGACATTTATGGTGCCACTAAAACAAACCATAGCAGAATTTCACATTGAATTTCATAGTCAAGCTGATTTTCCCAGGAGAGATAAGGAATGAAGGAACCCTGAAAGAGAAAATTTCTGAAAGAATATGTGCATCTGTTTCCAAGTTCGTAGCCATAGCCCATCTAACTTGTGTGTATGTAAGCTTTTTAGATTTTTGTTAAATATTTACTAAATTTACAATTGATAGTGGTAAGTGATCAAATGGATCATATGCAAATCTGGCCAAATTATTGAAGAAAACAAAAATTCCTAAACCAACCATATGTCAGATATCATATAGTCTTTCTATCCAAACTAAGAATTTGGGCAAGGAAAATTGGATCTACAAGTCAAAATATGTTTTCTCTGTGGATGCTGTTGTTCAGCTTCTGCCAAGTGCATAGCAGGAGAATTCAGATGGCTCTGGTTCTGGGATCTTGGGGGTTGTTTCTACCTTCTGGCAAAGAATGTTCTTCCCTATTATTCAAAGGTTCCCATAGGACCTGAGTGACAGCTAACAGCTGGGTCAAAAGCTGTAATTATATTATCAGCCCTATTGTTTCAACAAACTCCTACAAGTATTGGTTTTTTTATTGGGATCTAACTTCAACCTTTCCTGGACTCCATGCCTGAATTTGCAGCCCTAGTCTTGGATATTCTTTAAGTATCATACACTCTCTATATAGAATACATATCTTTTAAAAATATATACATATTTTTATTGATTTCAGAGAAGAAGGAAGAGGGAGACAGATATAAAAACATCAA